AGTGGGAGGGCTTCTGGTGTTCTGGCCCCACTGGTGGACCTCCTGGTGGCACCTGGTATTTTTGGCCACTGTGTGACAGAGTGTTGGACTGGATGGGCCATTGGCCTGACCCTGACCCAGCATTGGCTTCGCTTATGTTCTTATGTTTTGGGGCAAGGGATGCTCTGTATTCTTGGTGCTTGGGGGGGGCAACAGCGGGAGGGCTTCTAGTGTCCTGGCCCCACTGTTGGACCTCCTGATGGCACCTGGTATTTCTGGCCACTGTGTGACACAGAGCGTTGGACTGGATGGGCCATTGGCCTGATCCAACATTGGCTTCTCTTATGTTCTTATGTGGAGCAGAGGTCCATCAGTGGCTATTAGCCATGAAGTATAGATAGGAACTTTCAGGCTGGGGAAAGTGATGCTCTGTATTCTTGGTGCTTGGGGGAGAGGCAACAGTGGGAGGGCTTCTGGTGTTCTGGCCCCACTGGTGGACCTCCTGATGGACCCTGGTATTTTTGACCACTGTGTGTGACAGAGTGTTGGACTGAATGGGCCTTTGGCCTGATCCAACATTGGCTTGTGCCTTGTACTCTCCACCCATCTCTTGGAGGCTGTCCGAGGGGCAATGAAAATGGACTTTCTGTGCTCTAAATCCAGCTAGAAGACACTGGAGAGATAAATTCCCACCTCCTATAAATCCATGGATTGAAGACTTTACAACTTGATAAGTGTTCGAATGCATAGCATAAAGACGACATTTGCATATGGACTTAGTCTGAGATATTTGGAAATCTTTTACAGAAACTTATTAAGGGGCTGCGGTGGCTCAGAGGTTAAGATGCTCAACTGCGGACCGGAAGGTCGGTAGTTCAGCAGTTCGAGACCCGAGTGTGCCGCATGATGGAGTGAGCTCCTGTCTCTAGTTCCAGCTCCTGCCAACCTAGCGGTTCAAAACAAAGAAATTGCAAGTAGATAAATAGGTCCCACTTCGATGGGAAGGTAACAGCATTCCGTGTGCCTCGGTGTTTAGTCATGCCGGCCACATGACCACGGAGAAGTCTTCGGACAACGCAGACTCTTTGGCTTGGAAATGGAAATTAGCACTGCCCCCTAGAGTCGGATTCGACTGGCTTTCGAGCAAGGGAAACCTTTACCTATGCGTAGATTTGCCTTCACTGTTGTCATATTTTTGTTTCTACTTAATATATACATACATACATTTACACAGATACACACACACACATATATATGTTTCCCCCTCCTTTTTATTAGTTATTGGAGTTTGAGTTTCCCCCCCTTGTTCCTTTTTCTGTTTTTTTAAGGGGGGGAGGAACTGGTCTGAGGGGGGATGCCCACGTTCTTTAGTCAGGACCCCTAGTTGTTAAGACCACGTTAAAGGCCTTTAAAGTTCACAGAAATAAGAAGTTTAAAACTGAAGCTGTTTGCTTGATGACAGTGCTGTAAACGACACACTTAATTATGTCTGTGTGTGAAGTGCTGTCAAATCGCTTCTGACTTATGGCTGACCCCTATGAATTAAAGTCCTTCAAAATGTCCTATCACAAATAGCCTTGCTCAGGTTTTGCAAACCGAGGGCCATTGTGGCTTCCTGGATGGATGGGTCTTCCCCTTTAACTTTTCCTAGCATTATTGTCTTTTCCAGTGCCTCTCGTCTTCTCATAATGTAGGGCTCCCAAATCTCACCAAATCGCGGCGGGGGATCGCATGTCTTCGCAGAATTTGTGCCGCGGGGACGGCGAGACGCGCTGCACCACTGTCGCCAGGACATGACACTACGTGTCGCTCTGGCAACAGGGCTGTTTGGAGCCCCGTTGCCAGAGCGACGCGTGGCGTCATGTCCTGGCGCCGGCGGGTGCAATGCGTCTTGTCGTCCCCGCGGCAGGGATTCTGCAAAGACATGCGATCCCCCGCCACAACTTGGCAACCCTATCATAATGTGACCAAAGACTGATAGCCTCAGTTTAGTCATTTTAGATTCTAAGGAGACTTGATTTGATCTAGAACCCACTGGTTTGTCTTTTTCAAGGACAGCTCATAGGGGCATTATGATATTGGCTGATCTGTTTTCAATACCTTTCCTAATAATCTCCATGCTGCCAATACTGCTGCATGAATTGCAGACTGATCCCAACTGCAGCCGCCCAGCACATAAGCTCTTCCTTTCTTTGTGCCCCAGAGTTTTGTAGGGAAATTGTGGCAGTGCTCATAAGACTCCTAGGAACAGTCCTAAGCTCCTCCTACAACATTACACAAGGGCGTTGTCAAGCTGAGAGACAGTCAAATACATGTCTCAGAGAAGGAACACAAAAAAAGTGAATGGATGCTTTTGGCTTTGTTTCCTTTCAACGAAATTAATTTGTTTAATATAAGTCTGACTAGAAGGAGGGTATAGCAATAAAACATTTACACCACAGCAAGGTAGATCCACCCCCTATCCTGCTACTCTCCCGAGCAAAGTTCGTTCGTTCATTTGTTCCTTCGTTTGTTCATTCATTTATTTGTTCATTCGTTAGTTCATTCGTTCATTTATTCATTTGTTTGTTTGTTAATTAATTAATTCATTCATTCATTTGTTCGATCATTCATTCATTTGTTTATTCATTCGTTCGTTTGTTTGTTCATTCATTTAAATATTCATACCTGGCCTTTCCTTTTGGCTCATGTTTTAACCCTTCAGTCTAAGGAGAATTCCTCCAGTTAAACGGCTCTTCCAACTTAAGGGGCCTTCCCCCGGTAAAAGCATTTTTAAGGAATCTGAAAACTATGCTTTTTTTTGTCAATTTTTTTTATTTAGGATATAAACATTCATAATCAACATTAAATTTTTTACATTTGTCCCTTTCATACCCTACCCACCTCCCTTTCCCCCTCCCTAATATACGGCTTCCCACAGTGCTTCGACCTCCTGCCCATCTCTTTATTAATTTTTACAACAACAATTTTCTTTTTGTAATTCACTAGGTAACTATTATTTCACTATAGTAATTAATTTTAACTCATCCCATCTCCCAAGCATTCTATGATTAATAATTATTAAAACTAAACAAATTGTCTTTTACTTCCCAATACTTTTCTAAGTATTCTTTTAGATCCTTCCAGTCATTATAAAAATCTTCTGCTTCCATATTATTCAACTTTCTTGTCAGTTTGTCCATTTCAACTGAAAATAATAATTTTTTAATCCAATCTTCGATCTTCGGGTTGAGGAATCTGAGAACTATGCTGATTGGTATTATTTCATATTGAGCAGGTGCTCAATGAATTACATAGGAATAAAGCCCTTCGGTAGTGTCGAAGGCATTCTCTCCTCTCTGCCAATGCCCTTGTCTGTTCTAAGGACAGAAGATTAATACCTCTACCATGTAAATCCCGTTCTTGACCTTCAGTTCTCAAAATGACTGTCCAGCAGATGTGTTCAATTAAAGAGCCCCAGCCTATCTTCTTGACAATGAAAAGTCTATTGTCCTGTCTTATGTAAAACGGTTTAATTAGAATAAGTTTTTGCATATAAAGGATCATATTCAGGTATCGAAGGCAATGCTGGGGAACTGATTCTTGAAACTTACTTTTTTTTGGTCTTCACAAAATTAAGAAATTCGGAGCCATAGAATCTAGAAATAGGACATATGAAAGACAAAGCCTGCAGTTTTCAGGGCACTGCCCACAATGCATTGTTACACATTGTGATAATGGATGTGTGGTACACTTACCTGGTACTGTAATGTACTAGGCATATGAGAAAGGGCTTATGTTTTAAGCTGCTCAGCGATTTGTGTTTTTATGTCATGGCTTGGCCTGTAATTTTGTTTGCATTATGTTTTATTTTGTAAGCCGCCACAGACAGGTTCCCTGGAGAGGCGGTACAAAACGTGCTAAATCAATCACTATAGAGACATTTGAATTTATGTAATGTGCAACATTACTTTATTTATGAATCTAGATAGTGTGTTCTGTAAGAGCTCTCTCATGTTACTGGTGTGTTCTCGTGTTTCAGGGTGCCCGAGGTTTCCCTGGGGCTCCAGGTCAGCCAGGTTTAAAGGGCCACAGGGTAAGTGTGAGCATGGTTTCTTTGTTTCTCAGTGGGGTCCTTTATACCATTATGCTTTAGGAGCTGTCTTATCTATGTATCCTTGTTTTCTTCTCACAGGGCCATAAAGGGCTTGAAGGCCCTAAAGGTGAAATTGGAGCCACTGGATCGAAGGTAATATACAAACTGCCATTTTCTTTCAGCTGATAGGAATTTGGAATTGCAAAATGTCATGAATATATTTGCAAGGAATTTTGACACCACCATGACCAATGCTCCCTCTAAGCTGTGGCGTCTTGTGAGGAAAAGTTCAACTTTGTGAGCTACTGGTATTAAAGTTGTGAGTGAGTGATTTGGCTACTGCATGAATTAGTTTGTTCTGGAGCCACCCTTCCTGAGCTGAGACAAAAACGCGTGAGCCGGAGGCTAAAAAACTGTGAGCTAGTTCACACTAACTCACCTTAGAGGGAACACTGACTATGACTATGATAGCTTGTACATTTGAAGGTCCCTCTGTTTTATTCTTTTTTAATCTTACAAAGTCACCAAAAGGATGCAAGGAATTTGTCTGTATTTGTCCCCTAAATGCTCTAAGAAACAGGCAAGCAATTTCTTTCTCTCATCCATCTCTGCTCCTTCCCCCTCTTTCTTTAATAAGCAATATGTTGCTTCTTTAGCAGAACCAAATGGCATTCTTGACACACTGACCAATTTCCCACAAGCCGCTGCTCCACCCTCGCTCTTCCCTTTCCCCGGATCGTATGTGTCAATTTCCCACTATTTGCTGCGCAGCCGCATTTTGCTCCACAGCTTCGCCCGATTTCCCCCACGTCTACTCGATCCTCTTTTTTGAGGATTGAGTAGACGTGGGGGAAATTGGGTGAAGCTGCGGGGCAAAATTCGGCCACGGAGCAAATAGTGGGAAATTGACACATACAAATCAGTGGAAAGGGAAGAGTGAGGGCGGAGCAGCGGCTCGTGGGAAGTCGGTCATTATTAATGTTAAGTTTTGATGGATTCAATCAGAGAGAAATCCTAAACAATCTACTCGGAATCCTATTCAAGTCTATTCAGTGAAGCTTACTCCCAGGAAAGTGTTCTTAAGATGGCACTGTCACCCACAGTTATCCCCAAGATGTCTTTCTTCGCAGAGAGACTCGCATGCAACATTTCTGTGTAAGATGTTATTCTGATCCTGTTTTTCATAGAACCTCTAGCTTCTATTCAGAGCTCCGCATTTTGTTTCTTCACTTCCCACCACTGCCGAGGAGACTTTTGTGTTGGATGAATGGCTGTTCTCTGCTCTTGACAATTAAAGACTAGAGGACTCCAAACAAATGGTCACATCCTACAAACAAACTTCAGTATTCTCCAAAGATCAATATAAAGATAATGGTGTTGCTAGTGATTTATAAGCCAAGATTTTCTTGGGAGTAACACTACTAAATTTATATATATATCTAGGGTGTCACTTAGAGGAGGGCAGGGAGCTGTTCCTGTTGGCAGCTGAGAATAGGACTCGCAATAGTAGGGTTAAATTATAGGTGGAAAGGTACCAGCTGTAAGGTCAGCAGTTCGAGACCCGGGTGCCGCATGACGGAGTGAGCTCCCGTCTCTAGTTCCAGCTCCTGCCAACCTAGCAGTTCGAAAGCAAGAAATTGCAAGTAGATAAATAGGTACCGCTTCGGCAGGAAGGTAACAGCGTTCCGTGCGCCTTGGCGTTTAGTCATGCCGGCCACATGACCACGGAAACGTCTTCGGGCAGCACTGGCTCTTCGGCTTTGAAACGGAGATGAGCACCGCAACCCTAGAGTCGGACTCGACTGGCTTTCGAGCAAGGGAACCTTTACTTTACTTACAGTAAAATTAGTATTTGGAATCGGCTGCCTAGGGAGGGGGTGAGTTCCCTCTCACTGGCAGTCTTCAAGCAGTGGCTGGATGAACCCTTGTTAGGGATGCTTTAGGCTGATCCTGCATTGAGCAGGGGGTCGGTCGAGATGGCCTGTAGGACCCCCTTCCAGTTCTACGACTCTATCTGTCAGTCTGTCTGTCCGCTGGTATTAATATTTCAAAATCAATCAATTCTTGCATATTCGCTTCCTTATCTGCGGGATTTGTAAGCTGAACGTACTTTTAGTTAATGTATTGATGTATTTTTGCCACTTTTCCAGGGTGAACCTGGCGCGTCAGGTCAGATGGGACAAAATGGACCTTTGGTGAGTGTCGTTTCATATCTATGTATATGCTACTTCCCCCCTTCATTGAGAAAATAGGAAAACACGAAAGTTGAAAATATAGGAAGTAACATTATAGTGAAGTCAAGAATACTTATTATCTTGGCTCTGACTCAATCAGCATATATTCCATACCATTATGAATGATAAATTAAAGAGATGTAGCATTCAGCATTGACTGGGGAGGGGCTGTGGCTCAGTGGAAGAGCCTCTGGTTTGCGTGCAGAAGGTCCCGGGTTCAATCCCTGTCACCTCCGGTTAGAAAGAACCAGTCAGTAGGTGTTGTGAAAGATGCCTGCCTGAGACCATGGAGTGCTGCTGGCAGTCTGAGTAGGCAATGCTGACCTTGATGGACCCATGTTCTGATTCAGTAGAAGGCAGCTTCATGCGTATGTATCTGCATGGGCACCTTTTCATTTCTGCTGCAAGCTTGAACATTTGCATAGCAATCAAAATAGGCTGAGTAAAGAAGACGTAGCATTCTAAGTCTGGCCTGATTATGGGTGTGGTTGAATGCCATACTAAGGCTGCGGTCACACGGAACATTAGCCATGCAAGAGAGACGGAAGACAGGCGGATTTTCCAGGCGCGATCTCACCGGCACATCTGGGAAGCGTAGCGCTTCCGTGGCACAACCGAGGCTTCCCGCCGAAAACGCGCAGAAAAAAACTAGTACCTCGGAGGTACTAGTTTCCGGAAACTGCGGGGCAAGGGTGGGCGTCTGATCGCATTTCCGGTGGCATCCGGTGCCCGCCCATGTCCCCTTGCAAAAAAGGTTCCCCCCCCCAAGTCTCCGTGGATGCGCACACGCACCCAACGGAGCATGCACATTTGTCGTGTACACAAAAAAAGAAAACCAGTTTGCCGCACCGTGCGCTTCTTCATTGTGCGCAGGCGTGTCCTGTGATCGGCACCGCTCCCTACCCACGGAACCTCCACGGTACCTCCACAGGACCTCCACAGGAGGTCTGATCGCTTAATCGCGGGTTAGTTTGCCCCGGGGCAAACAGCCACGCTCTCCCCCCCGCAGTTTCCTGCCCGTGTGACCGGAGCCTAAGTCAAAAGTTGGGATTTAGTCAGAATTAGCTGGTGTTGTCACTCATCGGCTGGGGTGTGTGTGGTCCCTTTCCAGCAGTGTTATTATGTTGCCCGGCAGTACGCTGACATCACTTCTGGGGTCACCTAGCCCACTAAGCGGCAGTCCTAGATTTAGTCCATCTCATCACTTACAAAGGATGTCTGCTACACTGCCTTACCCTTGAGACTGACCCGGAAAATCCAGCTGATCCAGAAGGCAGCGGCACGAGTCCTGACGGGAGCGTCACCGATGGCACATACACAACTAGTGTTGCGCCAGCTACACTGGCTTCCAGTGGAGTACCGAGTCAGGTTCAAGGTTTTGCTATTGACCTTTAATGCCTTGAGCGGTCTGGGACCAACATATCTATGGAACTGTTTTCTCTGGTATGTCCCCAGGAGAGCTTTACATTCTTCGAATAACAACTTGCTGATCATCCCCGGCCCTAGGGATGTCTGGCTGTCCTTGACTAGGGCCAGGATCTTCTCGGTCCTGGTCCAGACCTGCTGGAACTCTCTGCCAAATGACATCAGGTCCCTGTGCAGTTCTGCAGGGCCTGTAAGGCAGAGATGTTCCGCCAGGCTTTTGGCTGAGCGTAGCAACGGTTACCCATTGGCTGGCACCCTTCTCTCCCCCTCATGTTCTGAGTTCCTTTCCCTTCCCTCCAGAAAAAGGGGCTGGTAGTCCAGAATTGGGATAAATAATATTACAGGAAAATCACCACCTTGGATCATTTATCTACACTGAAATTTTTATTAAGTTATCTATGAATGTTAATGTGTTGTATTCTATGACATTATGTCCCGTACATCACCCAAGCCCAGCATAAGCTGGGATAGGGCGATTAATAAATCTAATAAATAATAACTTTAAATATGTGTACAGATATGCATTGGGATATTTGGTTAATAGAGCAGAGTTTTGCCCAGTCTTAGAAGCGTGATACTGCAGTTTAATAAATCTCCCAAGAAGTATATTGCAAAAAAGGTAAACTTACACTTATTCAAGTAGATCCAGCTCATGTTCAGGTTGCTGTCGAAAGGAAAGAGAAAAGCCTATTCGAAAGAGTACTTCCCCCTATCACAAATGGCTAGCTTGTTTGGTATCATGTCTGTGGGGATACGAGGGCACTGTATCTACAGGAGAGACCTGCAGAGACATGTGTCTCCATGAAAGGCCATGTGCAGAGAGGGAGAGGACAAAACAGAAAGAGGAGGGGGTCAGAGGGTGGCTCCCACGTTAAGACAAAGAGAGGGATCCCATTCAAGGAGATAACACCTATATCCACTTGGAGTGATGTAGCGCCCCCTAATGTCCAGGCATGCTGAGTTACTCAGTCCAACAATATGAACATAAGAATCTCCATTAAATTGAGTCAGTTTATTAGCCAACTTTATTTGTTATTGTCTACCTCCACACTTCCAAGCAGAGGAAGATTTTTTCAAGTACAGACAGAAATCCTTTATCAGGGGGCTGAGCCTGAGATGTTCACTAAAATTCCCTAGTGTAGGAGTCACCCAGAAAGCTTGCGAATTAGACTTCAAGGCCTTGAGCTGATGTACTTCCTTTGTTGGCTGCAGGGTCCTCGTGGGATGCCAGGAGAAAGAGGACGACTTGGACCACAAGGGACTCCAGTAAGTGGTTCTTTATATTGGGCTAACTTTACATTGGGCCATCCCCTGTATTGTTTCTTAGTTTAAATTTGTGCACTTCTCAATGGTTGCTTCTTGAAAATTTCACTTCTCAGTCGAATGTCTTTACAGACTGGCAAGATGCTAATGGCTTTCTACCATCACAATGTAAACACAGGTCAGAGAATAGGGAGAGCTGTGTATATGTATTCTCAGCAGTTCTAGAAGGGTGATATAAAAAAGTCCCGATGGAAAATTTATACCCTTGTAGTACAGGAGAGATTGAAACTATAGAACATGTTTTATTTTGCTGCCCTTACTATTAAGAAATTTGTATGAAGTTTGTCTCTCATATAATTAGTAGGTACTAATTATAGAATCAGTGTATACCAGAATGCTGGTAACTGATGAAAATCCACTCATTTTAGCGAGCAGCGGGAGGTTTCTTGTGGCCGCTTACAGAATTTGACAGATAAAGAACGTTTAAGAAAGGTTAAAATTGTACTTTTAAATATATATATATATATATATATCATTATTATGTTTTAAATATTATATTTATTAATAGTCTTTTAAATTTGGAGCATACGAATCTGTTTTATTCTGTGCTGGTCAAGGGCTCTTTTAATAAAGGATTGATTGATTGATACTCAGCTACATAAAAAAATAGTCTCGAAGGCACTGAAGCATGCAGGGCTAATTACACGTATTTGTGGGCACGATGACCTTTGTTCCCCCCCAATTGCTCCCCGATGCCCCGTGGAGAAAAACATAGGAAGCATACACAAAAACATACAATCTCCCATGCAGACATCACACGTATCCTGAGCCAAGCACGGACACTTCCAAGTACAAATGAACAGGAACACCACCTTCCTCGCAAATGTTGTGTTCCGGTTAACATGGCGAGGATCACGCTCTTCTAAGTTGTACATTCCAGTGGCTCTCTGGCCATGGGAGCCATTTGCGATACTTACAAAGTGAGGGGCAAAGACATTTGGTGGTACAAAATACCCCTCCGCCTTCAAGTTGGTGAAACAGTACAGCACTGCGTTAGTAGCAACCAAGTTCTCATGCTAGATGGTGGTAACGGAAAGTGCCAGCAAGTCTCAGCCGGCTTATGGTGACCCCTATGAGGTGTTCGAGGCAAGAGACTTCTGAGGTAGCTTGTCATTGCCTGCCTCTGCATAGCGACCCAGATTTCCTTGGTGGTCTCCCATCCAAGTACTAACCAGGGCTGACCCTGCTTAGCTACTGAGATCTGACGAGATTGAGCTAGTCTGGGCCATCCGGGTGAGGTCCAGTTAGGGATCCCTTTTCCATGTCTTGCTCTACTTATTACACCTTAGCCCAAGGGGAATGCTGGCTCAGCCTAGCAAAGTATAGCAAAGTTCTGTCTCTGCAGGTCAAGAACAGCTCCCCCTTCAGAAAGGGTTGGATGTGTGTCGGAACACCTTCTTTAATCAACACGCGAGTCCCCAGAAATGTACCCTGCCTTTTGTTTTTCTTTCTCTTTAGGGAGCTCGTGGGCCACACGGTATGCCAGGAAAGCCAGGGCCATCTGTAAGTACCTCTCCTCTCCTTTTCCTTTGCTTCCATTTATTTGCTTTGCATGAGCTTCAATTCTGATTGTGTCGGCCAGTGAAATAAACTCAATTGTACACAATTCATAGCATTGTCGCTGAGTTGTCCATCATGATTATTCACGAAGGTTTTCTGGAAAATAAGATGCCCACATGTGTTGATGCTTGGCTGCCAGATGTGGCCTGGGCAGCAGAAAGTTGTGGTGAGGCCAGATGTGGGCAGGAGGGCTTGGCAATGGCATAGAGCTAGGCCGGCCTACTCTCCTATCTGATTCTCCAGCAAAGCACTGCTGCCTTTCTGTAGTTCAGTAGATTAGGAGCCAAGCCAAGGCAGTGGAGGGACTCTGTGGTGTGTATTGGCTTGTGTGCTAGAGATGCGTGGGCCACACTGGCTGAAAAGCTTGGCCCCCCACTCGATAATTTCTGAACACATTGTGCAAATTCTGGGGGTCCGTATTTAGGGATGGGCACGAACTAGGAAAATGCAGTTTGTGTTGGTTCATGGTTTGTTGCTGAACCGTAAACTGAATCACAGACCAAACTGAGAGGTTTGTTTACAAACTGAACCAGTTTGTGGCTCATGGCCCTGAAAGCCCCATTAAAAGGAACCACACTCCCTTTCAACAGGGTTTGCAGAAAGCACGAAAAACAACTGAGTGATGTGGAGCCGGCTGCTCTCTGCCACTCAGCTGTTTTTGCGGCTTTTGCAGGGAACAGAAAGCAGAGGTTTAAAGGGACCCAGAGTCCCTTTAAACCCCTGCTTTCTGCTCTATTTATGAACCACCATAAACTGCTTTAAAACTTCATGGAAGTTTGTGATGGTAGACCCAGCATGAATTTTGGTTCGCAAATCACGAACACGGCAAAATTCGTAATGAATTTTGCTTTGTGGATCAATTTGTGCCCATCTCTCCCCAAATTCCCCAGTTCAGGCATACATTTATCCTTCATTTTTGCACTGCGGTCTTCAGCCTTCTCCAAATCGGAGATGAACTCAGCATGGGACCCACTGAGACACAAGCACGTGACTGGAAGTCATATGACAGGAAGAAGAGGAGTGCAGTGGTGTGGCCAGGTTAGGCTGTTGTCACAAAACAAAAGTCCAGGAGCAACTTAAAAACTAATGATTTGAGATTTGGTGAGTCACCACTCACTTCCTCAGATATGTGGAAAGACATCCAGAGTTCATTGTGACCTCACTGACTTCAGGCCATGGGCAGCAGACCAACAATGCCATTCTAGAGAAAAACAGAAACTTTGTGTATTATTGCTTTAGTAAATTTTTTGCCTTACTTATCAAAAAAAGGCAAAGTGTTATCACATTTCAAGATCACCCAGGGATTCTTCTTGAGCAGCAGAAGGAAGCGGATTTTTGGGTCTAGGGTTCGTAGGATTTATTCCTCTCCCAAACCAATATGGCTGGTTAAAACCCTCTGAAAATGGCATGTTATGCGCTGAAATTGATAAAACAAGGGCTACATGTAAACGCTCTATGAGCCGCTGATTGTGAGAACCTATAATGAAGCCGACTGGCACTCGTTTGCAGCAATCAGTTCCTTCCACCCTGGTTTGGCCCCAATCCCAGTCCACAACAGGGCCTCATAAGCACATTGATCCCGAACAGCAAATGTATATCTAATGAGAACATTAGGGCTCTATCTGGACTGGGGAGTTACATTTATTTGCACATAGGATTCCTCATCCAGCAAGTGATATTCCTGTTTCTGCCCATACATGGTGCGAGCTTTTTCGAGACAAGAGACGTTCAGAGGTGGTTTGCCATTGCCCACCTCTACATAGTGACCCGGGATTTTTTAGGTGGTCTCCCATCCAAATACTAACCAGGGCTGACCCTTCTTTGATTCCAAGAGCTGGGCTATCAAAGTCATGGATCAGGGCAAATGTTTTTCTGCAGCGTTTCCACCAAATACAGTCGCAGAATTCAGGAAGAAGAAGAAGAAGAAGAAGAAGAAGAAGAAGAAGAAGAAGAAGAAGAAGAAGAAGAGGAGGAGGAGGAGGAGGAGGAGGAGGAGATTGGATTTATACCCCGCCCTTCACTCAGAGTCTCAGAGCGGCTTACAAACTCCTTTTCCCTCCCCCTCCCCACAACAGACACCCTGTGAGGTGGGTGGGTCTGAGAGAGCTCTGACACAAACTGCTCTTTCAGGAACAGCTGTGCCAGAGCTTGTGACTGACCTAAGGTCACATCAGTAGGTGCAAGTGGAGGAGTGGGGAATCAAACCCGGTTCTCCCGGATTAGAGTCCGCACACTTAACCACTACACCAAACATGCCATTTTCGGAGGGTGGGTGTTTTCATTGCAAGATGAGCACTGTATATTAAACAGATTTGTATTTAAATAGCATGCAGACTTGGGTGTTAAAATCGTTCAGTGAAAGAAATAATGCCACCATTTGCCTACTTAGATTATATCATTAGCGTGGGAGATACAAATATTAAAAGATCTTTACACGGGCACCTGTTTATACATATAATAACAGTGGCACACATGCTTTCTCTGTGTGACTATAAGAATTCATCGTAACATCTCATGGGGAATTTTTCAAATATTGATGCTCCAAAACGGAGGGGATGGTTGTGCTTAGACAATGGATGTTTGGAGTCATGCCCTGTGGATCCGTTACCAATAGAGTACCAGAGCAAACCAGTCATTCCTAGTTTTCACTGTGACATTTAATGGAGAACTTTCCACACTCCTTCCAACTCTGGAGAGTTTACCCAGATGAGAAGGTGCTCCAGTGGGTGAATGCTGAAGTTTGCTGCAGCATCCATGGATTTCTGGGGAGCATAGGAACTACATCTCCCATGGTTCCGAGTGCCCTGTCCACTGAAGAAATCAGGCTGAGTAGCATCCAGAGACGTTCTCTCTGTTGTAGCCTTCACTGAAGCGCCTTCTCACCTGGACAAGTTGAACATTGTATGTTGATGTGAGGAGGTTTGCCAGTGAGCTGGTCCAGAGGAAATCCTGCCAAGTACCCAGCCCAGTGGTCTTGGCAAATGGCGGTGATGCTATCATCAAATGCCTCTAGGCCTATACCAGAGTTCACAGTCTTCTACAAATGTCCAGCACATGTCCAACAAAAAAAATATGTTTACTCTGGATTATTTCCAGGAATGGATTTATACAAGTCTACCCATCACTAATGTTCAGTGTGTAAACAGTGTACTAATTGCTCGATACAGCTATAACTTTTCCATTCTTTACGCTAAGTTTGGCGGTGTCCTAAAAAAATCCCCAAACAAGTAAGCTGGAACGGAGCAGAAGAAAAAGAAGTTCTCACCGTTATTAGCAAACAACTTGGTCATTCTGGATCAAGTGTGACTGTTTCCATCTGTTTGGAACGGTCGTTGACGGGGATTCGGCATGATTTCCAGTTGGCAGAAATATTTGGTTGCATTCCCCTACAATGTCAGGAGGGAGCTGGAATCATCACGGTAGAAACATGTACTGGCTGAATTTGGAAGATGGGGCTGGGATATATCTGCAGGAGAGCCATTCGGAAGAGGTTTGCCCTGGTGGTTGGATTTACCCTTGAAACAAGAGCGGAGAGAGAATTGGCTGGATGATATCCTTGCCGTTACATAACTGGGTGTGTAGATCTTCATAAATATGTACAAAGAATTGCTGCTCCAATGCTTCAGTCAATTTTGGTCCAAGGTCACGGGCCAAATTATGTTCTTTATCATTAATCGTTTCTGGAACAGACTGTTCGTCTTACTGTAAGCATCTTGAAAACTACCTTGTATACGAGGCATTATTTCATCGTATGCATCTTGTTCCACAAAAAGGGTGGCCAAGCCAGCCAAAGGCAAAGAAAAGGAAATCATTGGAGAATGGCTGGATATCTTGCAGTTGGAGTGAATATTTATGACTCCGTGTTCTGTGACCCCAGGATTGTCTAGGAAATTTATTTAGTATACTTGCAGAAATAAAAGGCATCACAAATGCCTATAAAAGTCTCTCTACTGTATGTTAATCAATTTGGACAAAATTTACAGGGCTATTTTTGGGCAGGAACACACAGGAACGGAGTTCCGGCTGGCTCCCAAGTTGGCCACACCCAGCAGGAACTCATTAGCATAATAGGCCACACCCAACAGCAGGAACTCATTAGGATTGGCTACATTAGGGGTGTGTGGCCTAACATGCAAAGGAGTTCCTGCAACAAAAAAAGGCCCTGGGTTTTGACAATAAACAAAGTAAACAGAATGAGAAGCAAAAGATGGGTGTGGCTGGATGACCACATTTCTGGTAACATAGGAATGCGGCCTAATATGCTAATGAGCAGTGCACTCAGGGGGTGTGGCCTAATATGCTAATGAGTTCCTGCTGGACTTTTTCTACAAAAAAAGCCCTGGACAAAGGGATATTGAACGTTCCCTAATAACATAGGAACATAGAGCTGAAAGGGACCTCCAGGGTCATCAATTCCAACCCCCTGCACAACACAGGAAATTCACAAATACCTCCCCCCCTACACCCCCAGTGACCCTTGCTCCATGCCCACAGGAAGGCCACTATGTGACAGAGTGTTGGACTAGATGGGCCATTGGCCTGATCCAACATTGACTTCTCTTATGTTCTTATGAAGGCAAAAACACTTCCTGGACCCTTGGCCAATCTGGCATAAATTTCTTCCTGACCCCAAAGTGGTGATCAGCATTTCCCTGGGCATGTAAGAAAGGGCCATGAGAACTAAGCACCGATGCAATCCGTCCTGCTTTTCCTCTCATGATCTGCATAAATTCACAGAATCTACATTGCTGTCAGATGGCCATCTAGCCTCTGCTTAAAAACCTCCAAAGAGGGAGAGCCCACCACCTCCCGAGGAAGCCTGTTCCACTGAGGAACTGCCCAAACTGTCAGGAAGTAGGGCAATAATTTGCTTTAGTGCAAGGCAGCCAATGTTTTCTGCATTTACTAGTGGTTGATTGGATTGCGTCTCTGTATTTCTAGGCAAGTAAAACACGCCTGAGATCAGTTCACACATGCATGCGTATCACTTGGTTTTGCTGCTGCTGAATGTGAGAATGTACTCTTTTGCGAAGTAATGTGTTTGAGAAGGAGTGAGTTGAAGAAGAAGAAGAAGAAGAAGAAGAAGAGTTTAGATTTATACCCCGCCCTTCACTACTCAAAGGTGTCTCAGAGCGGCTTACAAACGCCTTTCCCTTCCCCTCGCCACAACAGACGCCCTGTGAGGTAGGTGGGGCTGAGAGAGCTCTTGACAGAAACTGCTCTTTTTCAAGGACAGCTCTGACAGGATTATGGCTTGCCCAAGGTCATCCAGCAGGTGCAAGTGGAGGAGTGGGGAATCAAACCCGGTTCTCCCAGATTAGAGTCCGCTCACTTCACCACTACACCAAACCGGCTCACCAGGGGTACTTATGACCTATGACCATTTGTTCAGGGGTACACGTGGTATGTGTGAACTTCCCCACTTATCGACATGCCTTACAAATGCTGGACAGCAAACTCCATGCTCATTGTTACGAACCCTCTCCCTCCTGAAATCTGGGCCCTGTGGGATTTAATACAGTTCCGCAGGGCCTGCAAAATGGAGATGTTCTGCCAGGCCTATGGTTAAGGTGGTGAGGATCTATTTATATTGGCCTCCCCTGCATTGTTGGCTTGCCTCACGCGTGTCGCTTGTCTGTCTACTTTATGTTGCATACTTGCTTACCCCACATAGCTTGTCTTTGCTGCGTTCGGTCTGCATTGCCTTTTGTCTACCCATTCCCCCTGTATCAGTTACCATCCACCTGCACCCATATGGGGAGTCTACGCGGGAGCAGATGGGGATGGATTGTCTGAGAGCCAGTTTGGTGTGGTGGTTAGGAGCATGGACTCTAATCTGGGGGAACCGGGTTTGACCCCCCACTCCTCCACATGCAGCGGCTGGTGTGATTTTGGGTCAGACCCAAGTTCTCTCAGAGCTGTTCTCTCAAGGGCACTTCTCGAGAGAGCTCTCTCTGTCTGTTGCGGGGAGGGGAAGGAAAAGGAGATTGTAAGCCGCTCTGCGACTCCTTCAGGTAGTGAAGAGCGGGGTATACATTCATTCTCTTCTCATCTTCTTCAATAGTGCCATCGATTTATTGTTGATAGACTAACTGATATTATTGTTATTGGGTTGTAATTAATTGTTGCATTATGTGATGTGAATTTTAGTTTTGTTTTAACCCGTTTTACTTCTATCGCACCTTGTGCCTATGTAAGCCGCCCTGAGCCCACATGCGGGGAGGGCAGGGTATAAATGAAATAAAATAAATAAATAATGTTAAATATTGGATTATGTTCTTTATTCATAGAAGCATTGAATCATAGAATGTAGAGTTGGAAGGGACCTTGCAGGTCATCTAGTCCAACCCCCCGCACTCTGCAGGAGCATAGCCGATACATTGTATCATTGCAACCCACCCTAAGCCTGCTCACAGGGGAGGGTGGGCTAGAAGTCAGATAAAGATAAAGGGGAGCAAAGGTTTAGTTTTTGGGAAAGCAGCCTAGCCCAGGAGTCTGCAACCTCTTTGAGCATCTGGGCACCTTTGGAATTCTGACACAGCATGGTGGGTGCAACCACAACATGATTGCTGCAGGAGGCAGTGCCACACGCACCCAGAAAAAGCACGAGTGCAGGGGAGACAAGGGGGGATGTTAAATATACACCGGGAGGGAGAGGGAGAGAGAGAGAGAGAATAAAACCAACTGTGGTGGCAGCTCCCCCTGAAACGCTGTTATTTTAATCTGCGCAGCCAATCAGATCTCCCATGTCCAATCAGACGCCCTGCTGGGCGAGAGCCGCATGTGGCCCCACCCACTTTCTCAAAATGCTTGATGGGCACGGTGTTGGCAGACTCCATGGCACACGTGGGCACCGTGTTGGCAACCCCGAGCCCAGGGCTCTTTTCTGTAGCAGGAACTCCTTTGCATATTAGGCGACACCCCCCTAATGTAGCCAGTCCTCCAAGAGCTTAGAGTAGCCCCTGTAAGAAGAGCTCTGTAAGCTCTTGGGGGATTGGCTACATTAGGGGGGTGTCGCCTAATATGCAAAGGAGTTCCCGCTACCAAAAAGAGCCCTGCCCGAGCCTAGCTTAAAGCAGGAAAGCATTGACTCAGTACTTCCAAACATTTCGCTGTAGATCGAAGTACCAGGGAGTCCTTGTCCCTTCCGTCAGACTTTCTTCCCTGGGGAAGAGAACGGTGACTCCCTTGTGCAAACAGAGTCTTTGCACTGGAAGGCTGCAGGCAAATAGGCCTATTCCATCACACAGCTAAAGTACCTGCACCGTCTTCTGGAAGCTTCACTTCATAAAGGATGTGGACAGAACGGAGCAGGTGGAGAGGAGAGCGATGAGGATGATCGGGGGCCTTGAGGCCAAGAAGCCCTATGAGGAAAGGTTGAGGGAGTTGGGAAGGTTCAGCCTGGAGCAGAGGAGGCTGAGGGGGAATGTGATGGCTCCCTTGAAGTATTAGAAGGGCTGTCCCTTAGAGGAGGGCAGGGAGCTGTTCCTGTGCTGGCCCCAGTCAGCGTTATCTGTAGTTTAGTAAAACTGCTCTGTACCTTTAAGACTTGTTGCACCTGGGAATTGGAGTCCACAGTTAGGGGTCCCAGAAGCTTCCCTCTGACTGGCTCATTAAGAGTAATTTCCTGAGCTCAGAGATGCAAAGATAGGAGTTTTATTGTTCTTTTCAGTTTCTTTGTCCATCAACCCTAACTGCAAGGAGAGGGGAAGCCCATCTTTTTCTCACCACGGCTATAGAACTGACCTAGAACACAAGATGTAACTTTCCACCCAGCTATCTGGTCGATTGTGAGTAAATGATCTTCTGAATGCGTGTGAAGTTAAATAAAGATGATTTAAGCACTCCTCAGTAGTTGTGGTTGACTCACACCTAGAGAGCGTTGGCTTAGCACCGCTCGCGCTGGACAGGATAGTTCCTGTTGGTAGCAGAGGAGAGGACTCGCAAGAATGGGCTTGAATTAAGGGCAGGAAGGTACCGGCTGGATATCAGGAAAACCTTTTTTACAGTAAAAGTGGAATCGGCTGCCTGGGGAGGTGGTGAGCTTCCCCTCCCTGGCAGTCTTTAAGCAGCAGCTGGACAAACACTTGTCAGGGATGCTTTAGGCTGATCCTGCATTGAGCAGGGGGCTGGACTAGATGGCCTCTAGGGCCCCTTCTGACTCTGTGATTCTATGGTTTTACGATTCTGTGATTCTGATCATGCCCATTTCAGGAGAAAGCAAAGGTGTGCAGGGATTGGTATATCATTTCCTTTTATGTATGCTATGCCATTCACCTGCCTTCTAAACTCGAAATCTGTGTCTCGTCAACTTCATGTTGTTTTAGGAGGAGGGTCAGAATAGCTGCTCACCGACATTCACCATCTCATTTTTCTAGGGTCCACTTGGTATAGCTGGTTCATCAGGTTTTCCAGGGATTCCGGGCATGAAGGTAAGCTAGACTTGATTCTATTACAGTTATTTATGACATTCTTTCATGTGGTGATGGTGGAACGTGACGTCAAGGGTTTTCAACGGAAGAGACATCTAAGAGCATTAGAAGAGCCCTGCTGGATCATACCAGTGGTGTATCTAGTCCAGCATCCCGTCTCACACAGAGGCCAACCAGTTACTGTGGAGGTCAAACAGTATAGCACAGAGGCCGAGGCCTTCCCCTAGTATTGCCTCCTGGTGCTGGTACTTGGATCTCTACCGCCTCAGAACATGGAGATTCCCTCAGAACATGGAGGTTCTCCATGGCTAGTAGACCCTGATAGACTTCTCCATGACTCTATCATTTTAAAGACATTTTAAAAGCCCTTTTAAAGTAGGGTTGCCAAGTCCGGACTTACCTGCCGGCGGGGGACTTTGGGTTCGCTCCCGGTGTGTGTGCGTGCACGTGCGCCGCATGCATGTCACTTCCCTGTGACGTCATGACACCGGGCACGCTGGGGGCGGGGCACAGCCATTTGAGGGGAAAACATAGAGTTTCCCCCTCAAATGGCTGTGCCCCGCCCCCAGCGTGCCCGGCGTCATGACGTCACAGGGAAGTGACGTGCACGCGGGGGTGGGGTTTCCCCCGGGGCCCGATTCCGCGGGGGCGGAAATCGGGCCTCCAAAGTGGGGGGAAATATGCCCCCCAGGGGGATTTGGCAGCCCTATTTTAAAGCCATCTATGCCTGTAGCTGTTGTAGGGTTGCCAGCCTCCAGGTGGGGCCTGGGGTTCTCCCGCTTTTACAACTGATCCCCAGCTGAGAGAGATCAGCTCCCCTGGAGAAAATGGCTGTTTTGAAGGGTGGACTCTGTGGCATTGTACCATGCTGAGGTCCCTCCCCTCCCCAAACCCTGCCTTCTCCTGGCTCCACCCCCAAAGTCTCCAGGTAGTTTCCAGCCCAGACCTGGCAACCCTAAGCGGTTGCTACATCCTCTGACAGTGAATTCCTCATTTTAACACCACACTTTAATTATTTTTAATCACAGTAAATTGGCGAAGTATCCACAGGTAGGTTGCTTGAAAGGAGGACATGCAAATACATGATTACTGACAAGCAAGTACAGCCACCATTTTCAACAGAAGGAGCTAGTTTTGAACTAACTTCCAGGGTTGCCAACTCTAGGCTGGGAAATACCTGGGGATTCAGGGGGCAAAGCCTACGGAGGGACCTCAGTGGGGTATAAGGCCTCAGTGGAGTCCACCCTCCAAAGCAGGAATTTTCTCCCAGGGGAACTGATCTCTGTCCTTGTTTTTCTCTCCTCTGCTGTCCTCCATTGTTTCCCTCTCTTCCACTGTCCTTCATTATCCTTCTCTCCTCCACTGTTCTCTATTGTCCTATTCACCATTGTCCTACACTCCCCCACTGTACTTCATTGTTCTGCACTCCTCTACTGTTCCTCTCCTCTCCTCCACTATCATTCTGTTCTCCACTGCCCTATTCTCCTCCACTGTTCTTCACTGGCCTTTTCTCCTCTACTTGCCTCCGTTGGTTTCATCTTCTCCACTTCGCTCCTTTGTCCTCCTCCTTTCCACCATCCTCCCTTGTCCTACTCTCCTCCAATGTTCTCCATTGTACTTCTCTCCTCCACTTTGCTCCATTGTTCTCCTTTTCTTTACTGTCGTACATTGTCCTCCTTTCCTTTACTATCCTTCATTATCTTCCTCCCCTTCGTTGTCCTCCTCCCCTCCATTGCCTTCCATTGTCCTTCTCTCCTCCACTGTCCACCACTGTCCTCCTCTCCCCTCCCGTCCTCCAGTGTCCTACTCTCCTCCAGTGTCCTACTCTCCTCCAGTGTCCTCCATTATCCTTCTGTCTTCTACTATCCTACTGTCCTCCACTGTCCTCCATTGGTCTTTACTTCTTTACTGTTCTTCATTGACTTTCTCTCCTCTACTGGCCTCCACTCATTTCCTCTTCTCCACTTTGCTCCTTTGTCCTCCTCTTCTCCACTGTCATCCATTGTCCTCCTCTTCTCCTTTGTCCTCCATTGTTTTTCTCTACTCCACTGTTCTCCATAGCTTTCCTCTCCTCCACTGTCCTCCTCTCATCCATTGTTTTCCTCTTCTCCTTTGTTCCCCGTTGTCCTCCTCTCCTTCATGCTGCTCCATTCTCCTCCTCTCCTCCACTGTCATCCATTGTTTCCTTTTCTCCACTGCCCTCCTTTTCTACTCCTCCTCACAAGCGCAACGAATAACAGGTTAGGTAGATGAAGCTGAGTATGTAACAGGCCCAAGGTCACTGGGTTGAACTTCCATAGTAGCGCAGCAATTCTAACTTCCATAGTAGTGCAGCAATTTGAACCCGGGAGTCCCTGTTCCTAGTCTAATGCTCTAACTACTACACCACACTGGCACCCCTTGGTTCCTTCACCATCTTCATTCAGAGCTCTACAGCATGGTGAGTGAGGAATGAGGAGCTGATTGGCTGAAGCAGCTCTCCGTGACAGTAGAGGTTGAAGCCCCATCAGAGCAAACATCTGGTATCCATGTCCTTAGAGAGAAAGAGCAGAAGGACGAATCAGTCCAGCAGATGTTTGGTGTTGTATTTACAGTTGGCAATGCTTAGTCAAACAAATAAACTGACATTAGACAATGAGGTAATTTAGAGGATTAAAAATAATCCTTTTAATGCATGGGAAATAAAACAGGGCCTAGGCTAAACAAACCCTTGAACTATGTGGAGAAGAAAGAGCGGGGAAAATACATATTTGGGATTTGTTTTCTTTAAATACAGAGCAAATAATGGATTGATCCCTGTTTAAAGACCACGTTCACTGTCCATAATGTTCCTCCAGCTAACTTATTTATTTAAATGTATTTATAAGCTGCGGTGGCTCAAGTGGTTAAGATGCTGAAGTGCAGGCTCAGTAGTTCAGCAGTTTGAGACCCGGGTGCCGCATGATGGAGTGAGCTCCCATCTCTAGTTCCAGCTCCTGCCAACCTAGCAGTTCGAAAACAAGAAATTGCAAGTAGATAAATAGGTACCACTTCAGTGGGAAGGTAACAGCGTTCCGTGCGCCTTGGTGTTTAGTCATGCCGGCCACATGACCACGGAAACGTCTTCGGACAGCGCTGGCTTTTTGGCTTTGAAACAGAGATGAGCACCTCAACCCTAGAGTCGGATTCAACTGGCTTTTGAGCAAGGGAACCTTTACCTTTTAACTTAAGATACCTGAAGTATTATTTATAAATCACAAGAGCCAGTGTAGAGTAGAGGATGAGAGTGTCAGGCTAGTATCGGAGACCTGAGTTCGAATCCCCACTCGTGCCCTGAAAGCTCACTGGGTGACCTTGGGCCACTCACACTCTCTTAGCCTAACCTACCTCACAGGATTGTTGTGGGGATAAAATGGAGGCGAGGAGAACAATATAAGCCGCTTTGGGCCCCCTTTGGTGAGAAACATGGGGTACAAATGAATTCAGTAAGTAAACGAACAAATAAATGTGAGATAATGGCTCTATTGCGTGGATCCTGAAAGTGGTGTTTCTGCCTCAGGAGCTTCCAAATGTTCTTCTTTTGAAAAAGGCCGTGAGTGAAGTATAATTTGCTGTTCTCTAGGCCCCAGGCTACATTACTCCCTGTCCTTTAAAAAAAAGACAATGATTCAAAGTTTTGTTCCACAAACCGTGAGGTAAACTATCACAAAATAAGGATGTTTTGAGGGCCACACTACATGTGACACTGGCAGTTCTAGGTCTGAGGACCACAAAAGTTTTATTTTTTTTCAACAACAGGCACATAGAGCTCCAATTAAAATAGGGTCGCCAGGTCATACCCTTTTGTCCAGTGGTCTGGAGATGAGTTGTAATTCTGGGAGAACTCCAGGCCGCATCTAGAAGTTGGCAACCCACATTTCAGTTGTGGATGTCGCATTGTATTACAAAGCTTTACCTTGTTACAGAACAGAGGACAACAGAAAATGAAGAAATCTATGGTTGTTCGTTTACGGCACCTGATGTATAAGCTCAGCAACCGGATACCAGTTTGAATGGAAGTGATCTAAGCGGGGTTCTTTGTGGTTTATTTTCCAAAGTCACCCACAGTAGAGTCTCTTCAAAAAGATGTGTTGAATGAGAGTCTTGAGTTGTCATACGTGTTGACTATGCTCTCTTCTGAAATTTGAGGACTCTGTAGTACAAAAAGTCTAACTGTTGTTTTTCTTTCTGTCCTGAAAATTCAGGGTGAAGCTGGCCCAACAGGGGCACGCGGTCCAGAAGGCCCTCAGGGACAAAGAGGAGAAACAGGTCTACCGGGTCCAGCGGGGTCACCTGGCCTTCCTGTAAGTTTGTCAGTCCTTCATTTATGTCTGAGTTCTCTCTGAGGCAGCTGGAACCCTTCTCCTGGTCATCTGGCCGTCTTTGTGGGCGGAATATTCCACACACACCCTGCACTTTGAAGTGATATAGCCCAGAGTCAGACACAGCATTACCAGTGTATTGAGAACTTCAATTAAGCCAAACACATGCAGATACACAACTTGTTTGTTTTGACTTTGCTACTAGACTTAGTAGCATTTTAAATCCTTCACAGGTTAACATAGGCTGCGGACAGACTGGCAGCTTGGGGTGATATGCCGCCGTCTCTAACTGTAGCACTTTGAAGTATTGTGGGGCATACCAACCGGACAGCACACTCTGCTGCAGGTCACCCGCATGGCCATCCCGTGAGCATGCATCCACATTACTGCAGCGCCTCAGCCATGGAATATGCTGCCTAAGAACATAAGAGAAGCCAATGTTGGATCAGGCCAATGGCCCATCTAGTCCAACACTCTGTCACACAGCAGCCAAAAATACCAGGTGCCAGCAGGAGGTCTAGCAGTGGGGCCAGGACACTAGAAGCCCTCCCACTGTTGCTCCCCCCAAACACCAAGAATACACTGCATCACCTGCCCCAGACTGAGAGTTCCTATTTATACCTTGTGGCTAATAGCCACTGATGGATCCCTGCTCCATATTGTTTATCCAGTTCCCTCTTGAAGCCGTCCGTGCTTGTAGCCACCGCCACCTCCTGTGGCAGTGAATTCCATGTGTTAATCACTCTTTGGGTGAAGAAGTACTTCCTTTTATCTGTTCTAACCTGACCGCTCAGCAATTTCAT